GCTAAGTCCTGAGCTGATTTAGGTAGCGAGAAGCATACAGACACAATCCTGTCCCAAAGTATAAGGTGATATCTAGTTTGGTAGTTAGCCTTTTTTATGGAGAGAGCTGCAGATGAGTAGAAGCGGCGACCAACAGTGTCGAGATGCCTGCCATCTTTGTCTGATAGTGGTGTCTTCTCTTCTGGAATGTGATTGAGCAGACTCAGCGATAATGGAATTTGGTCGAGGGTGCTGAAATGGAAACTCAGCATCCTTTTCCTGGACGTGATATATATTTTCAAGCTGGTGAGGTGGAGGAGCTACTGATACCAGAGAATTCCACTCGTGCAGTATTGCGTTGAGTAGGGTCAGTAAGAGTGGGATGGTAATCGAGCCAGCCTACTCTGTGTACAGCTTTGAAAAGCAGGTTTTTCACCATGATAGGCTCCTGTCTAGGATTAAGTCCTAGACTATGAGCCATATGATGGACCTGAGTCCAGAGTCCTCTGGTGACAGAGAAAAGTTGAGCAATGTTGCAGCAGCACCTGGAGGCATGTCAGAGTGATGGTCTGGAGAGGATGCTATCGAGATCAAAATATATTGTCCTCGCTCTGAGTGGTGTTCTATCCGGTCCGTATGTTGGCTGGGTAGTGAGGACGAGGATTGCCTATCCAAGAATTGGACTATCTGAGCAGGGTCTTGAACACATTTGTCCAATGGGATGCAAAAGCTAGGATCCAGTAGAGTTGAGCTCCAAACCCTGTAGACATCAAAGAGATACAGCATGGCCTCTATTGGGGGTGGTAGTGTTGGGGAAGAAGGCGGGAATGATGATGTCTTGGTTGGCATGGAATGGAGAAGTCACTTTGGGAGTAAAGAGTGGGTCCCGGAAAAGGACAACCTTGTCCCTGTGGAACATTAGAAAGGGCACATCTATTAGTTGATTGGTGTGATGAACGGATGTGATGGCCACCAGGAATGCAGTCTTCCAGGAGAGGAGGAGGAAGACTGATGTGGTCATGGACTCGAAGGGTCTCTTTGACTGCAGGGCCACAGAGAGGCTCCAGGAGGGGTTGCAGGGTCAGACAGGTTGGGCTATGTTCTGGAGGCCCCTGAGAAAACAGTGTGCCAGGTGGGGTGGGCAAAAATGGGGAACCCTTGAATGGGAGGGTGGAAGTGTGAGATGGCCACTAGGTAAACCCTCAGGGACAAAGGAGAGAGGCCCACAGTGAAGCAAGCCTGAAGGTAGGCCAGGATGTGCTCAATACATGTGCAGGAGAGATTGAGGCCTTGTGACCTATTGAATGCAACAAATGCCTTTCATTTTGCTAGTTAGGACCTGAGGGTGGGGGGCTTTAGCACGGCCTAGAGGATGAAGGTGACTGCTAGGGGGAGGGAGCTGTAGGGGTCCATCACCTTGTGTTCCTGCAAGCTGTCAGACTGAGGGTCCTGGTGTCAGGGTGGAACACCCTGCCCCTGTCTTGGGACAGGAGGTTGTACTGCAGAGGGAGGCAGAGGAATGTCTTCCTGGAGAAGAGGGAGCTATGGCTATCTCTGCCACTATGGAGTGATCAGGATCCAGTCTGCCCATTCTCTTTGGAATTTGGCCACTACACGGGTGATCAGAGGGAAGGAGAAGGTGTAGAACAGGGCTCCTTCCCATTTGAGAAGGAACGCATCCCCCAGGCATGCAGTTACCTGCCCTGTTCTGGAGCAGAACTGGTCACACTTGGCATTCTGGGTAGTGGCAAAGAGGTCCACCTTGGGAGGAGCCCAATCCTCACAGAGAGTGAGCAAAACAGAGGTCTCTAGTTTCCATTCATGTGGGGGAGGGACCAACTCAGGGTATCTGCAAGGGTGTTGAGGCAGCCTGTGACGTGGATGGCAGTGATGGTGATGCCTCTCTTGACGCACCAGTCCCAGATGGCAGATGAGGGCTGAGAGGGGTGAGCAGAGCATATCCTGCCCTACTTGTTCAGATAGCCAGACAACATTATCATGTACTATCTGAATTTGGTGGCCCCTCAGGGAGTCTTGGAAAAGGCAAGGGCCTTGCGCACTACCAGCATCTTGAGCAGGTTGATATGCAGGTGTAATTTGTCTGGGTCCCAAAGGCCCTGTGTGTGCATGTCAACCTGGTGGGCACCCCAGCCCATGTTTAAGGTATTTATTGTGACAGTGATGGAGGGTTCTGGGGGAAGGAAGGGCATTCAGGTCATGAGGTTGTCAATGGAGCCCCACCAGCAGAGGAATTGTCTGACTGTGGGGTGTGGGGGCAGCAAGGTGGTGTGGATGCTGTGAAGGGTAACCATCCAGAAACTCCCGGGGTAAATGAACTTATTGACACCCCGAAGATCCAATATCAGCCTAAGGTTTCTGTCATGCTTAGGCACTGTGAAATACCTCAAGTAGAAGCCTTTCTGTGCATTGGTGGAGGCATGTTCCTTTGCCTAGAAGGGCCTGGACTTCTGTCATCAAGGCTGGAGAGGATGGCATGGTCTTAATATGGCCTAGAGGAGGTACAGTCTCAAATTCTATCCTGTATCTCAGGTGGATAATGGATAGAACCCAAGTGTCAGAGGTAATGTCCTCCCATGATGAGAGAAACTGTGCCAGGTGGTGTGGTGTTTTTGGAAAGGGTTTGTGGAGTTGTGGCTGCCTGGACCAGAATCTCAGAGCCTGTGCCTGGAATCCTGGCACCTGGGTGGGAGTTGTTGATGAAGCTGGGAGTCATGCCTCTTGGCAAGGGGTGCCGGTCAAGGGTGGGGGCCATGCGCCTCCAGGGAATCCAGATAAGGGGCCGCAGGGGTGCTGTCCAGGGGGACCCCCAGGTCTGGAGTACAGGAGCAGTCCTGTGGGGATGTTGGTGCTGGAGGGGTAGGAGACCTGGCAACATGGCGCTCCTTCCTCTGGGAGGCAGCCCAGTTTTCAGAAGGCTCCTCTGTTGACATGGTGCTTCTTCCTCTTGGAGGTGGTTCCGGTTCCAGAGGGCCCCTCTGTTGGTGGAGTGGGCCTTTTCCTCATAGTCCTTTTGGCTTGTCAGTGTAAGGAGGCTTCTCAGTCTTGGAGGGGGAGTCAGCAATGCTCAAGGCTCTTTGCTAGAGCGTAAATTGCAGATGGTTGACCCCTGCCTTTGCATTTGCTTTTTAAACACTTGGCAGTGGGGACAAGGTCTTGACAAAGTGCCCCTTGCTGAGGCAGAGGAGGCACTTGGAATGGCCGTCCGTGGCAGGCAACTGAGCAGCGCACAAAGCACAGTGGCAGAAAGCCGGGTCGGCCATGTGCGACGGAATAGAGTGCCTGTGGAGAGGAAAAAAGAAATGATCCCTCTTTCTCCAGAGAAGAGAGGTGGGAGAGGGAGAGATGGGAGAGAGAGAGGCTGTGGAGGTGGCTTTGTCTCAATTAGATAACAGGAGCAGAGAGAAGAGTATGGAAGATTTTGAGAAGGAATTTTTGTTTTAGGGAAAGAGAGAAAGAGCAGGCAGGTAAGAGACGAGCAGCAGAAGGGCCAAATTGGCAAAGTGACGGCAGGAGTGGTCGAAAGGAAACTGAGGGACTGGGCAAGAAGCCCTCCCACTTTATTTGGATCCTCTGAGGGGGTGGGGTGGAGCTCCTGCCCACTCCATGACACCGAGCTGTGAAAGTTTCTCCAATCCAGGCCTTACATTGTGAGACAAAGCCCATATGCACAGAGACCACAAAAAATAGCTTTTATAAGGCTGCTTCACGTGTTTCATCGTCACCTGTTATATTTTCTTAGGTTTTTTGGCCTTGTGTTTGAAAGTGTGGGGCAAAGACAACTGACATCTCACTAGCCATAAGAGAATCCAAAACTCTTTTGGTCTCCTGTCTGCCTTTTCCCATTGCTGGCCAAAGCAGAATTATGTAAAATAAAATAACTTGTTTAAATTTGTTTAATCAACTACAGTGGAATATATAACAAATATAGATTGCTATAGAATTTGTTTAGCACACTGTAAAAAACAGCATTGCACTATAGCTAGGTCATAATAGTTTTCCTATAATCTGAGCATTTAAAAATCCATACTTTTTATGAGGAAATATAGTAGCAGTTATTCAAATTAGCCTTCTCTAAGCAAATTCAGATTTCTACACATGTATTACCTCACTCGCCTAAACTATTCCTTGGAAGTCTTGTCCTGAGAGGCAGATTAAAAATACAATACATACATACATACAGTACATATGTACTTTTAACCAAAGAAAAATACTTTAACACAAACTTTTCAGTAGTTACTTATGTAAGATGTAGAGATAAGTACAGATTAAAATCCTGTAATAAAACAGCTAATACATCAACTAGTGGCTCTGAACCTATTATTATGTCCTCACAGTTGCATGCTCTATTTTATGGGAAGTCTAATAAATAGAAAGAAACAGTCCTGCTTCATGTGTTCCATAGCCAGCTTCTTTTTAGTTTTACTTACTGCAAATTCTTTTTTTCCACAGTGGCCTATATCTAAGTAATTCACAATAAACTTTACATGCCATAATATAGCAGCATTAAAAATCTATTACAAAGCATAAATTAAAAGTTTGAAAAGTCAAAATAAATATTACAATGAGATGTTACCAGGTCAACATTTACAGGAAAAAAATAATAATCAACTCCCTGCTGCTAGTGCCAGTCTCACAGCACTCACAGGGACCACAACTACCCAGTTTAAACAACAACTTAGGCTCTTAGGGTCAGGGCCTTCTTACTGGTCTCAATGGTTTGCAATTAGCTTCCTCATCTTTTTTTCAAGAAGGTCCTGGAAGCAGAGGTAGAGCTAACTAATTCTTCTCCAGATGCGAAAGGGCAAAAAAGAGACATGCTTTCCCAATGCAGGAACACAACATCTTCCTCTGACGTTTGCAGGAATCTTGCAAGCAAGAGAGGAAGCACTGATTCATGTTTCCTTTTCTGCTTCTTCTATAGGGCATATAACGTGGCCCTTACACACCAAAATTCTCCCCTTCTATAGATACTCCTCCATCAATAGAGATGAGCCACTTACCTGGTGGGATGAAAAAATAGTCTCCATCAGTCAGACAGTAACACTGGCCATATAGATTTAAAAGAAGTTTACCGCAAGCAATGTGAAAAACCTTCAAAAGCAAGCATAAGAGCAACCGATTGTAAGTAGATGCATAATAATTATAACCCTCAGACATAAGTATCATAAAAGCAGGTTGATTACCTGTAGCTAGTTCTTCAAGCAGTCTTCTGTGAACTCACACAGATGGGTTTTGTACCTCCACAGAACAATCATTTCAAACCTTCTAGAGCTGAACAGAGCTTTTAGGCATGTTCTGTGCACATGGCTCCTGCCTGTCACTCAGTTCTCAGTCTGCTGCAGTAGAGCAACAAATTAAGAATTGGACATGAAGCGAGAAGGAACAGGAGCTGTGTGAGTTCACAGATGACTACTCAAGAAGCAAGCTATAGGCAAGTAACCTGTCCTCCTCCTTTGGGGTCTTTATGACACACACACACACACTTAATACTCACACACACTGGGTGATGAACCAGAGGGAATATGTCATGTGAAGATTGAAGAGAGGACCACCTGGCTGAAGGCTCCACCCTCAAGAGAGCTAGTTTTCAGGCAACAGTGCTTGATGAAAACAGAAGGATTAGCTCAAGCAGAAGTACTACAAGGCTGAGGAAACAGGATATGCTGTCCTGTTTCAGTTCAGTTCTATATGATGCAAACACAAAGTAAATTGCAATAGAGAAGTCAAAGCAAGTCCTAAGTCAAGCACAGTTTACTGTACAAACATGGATTCTCTAGAGAGAAGTCAGAGATGATAAAATGCATGGGATATTGGTCAGGTATAACTGAAGTTCCAACAGGAAACGTCAAGCAGAAGTCCAAAGTTTGATAAAACTGAGGTCCAAACACAAGTCAAGGTCAAAATAGAGGGAGGATGCAAAGGGCAGCTATGGCTTGAGCTTGAGTTATGTAATAACCACAGAGAGGCTCCACACTGCAATAGGTGGGGAATCTTAAGAGGTTGAAAGCACTTACACCAAGATGGGAATAGAGTGAAAAACTATCATCCTTGGTATGTTACACAGAGATTGCTGTTGCATATACTCAAAAGTGATGAAAACGCCAAGATTTTCACCTTGAGAGAAAGTTGCATGGCCTATTTTTTTTTTTTTGGTGGGGGGGGAGGGCACAATAGTGTGTGACTCGAAGACCAGAGGATAAAGACAACATTTGATTTTTTGTTATAGTGAATAGAGCAAGAGGGGTGATGTTGCAAGAAATAGCATTAGACATTCCTTCCCATAAATCTAGATGCCACTGTGAGGACATGTGGTGCTGTTGTGCTGGTTTCCAGTCTTCATAATACTGAGGGGATCACGTACAGTATGAACAACAACCATCATCTTATGGCAGGTGGTGGTGGTGAAGAAAACTGAGGAGACTGGTGATGCTAGGGAGACCTTTTAGTATTAAGGGATTTGAGCTGAATAGGAGCAATGTCTTCCCAGTGAGGATGAGGGAAATTGGAATTCAGAAGCAGACAGAAAAATGCCTTTTGGAGGAAACCTTCCCTTGATCTCACTGTCCAATATCAGTACCAATCCAAAGAACTGAATCTTGTCTGATGATTAGCAATCTGAGAGTAGTTGCCGTTTCATTAGGGTAAGAGTAGGAGACCTCAGACAAGTCAGTGGAGTTAAAGATGGATGTGAAGCTGTCAGGTAGGTAGGTAAAGCTAAAGGTTCAACATTGGATTCAATTCTACAAGCCATCCTCTTCCTCCTGTTTTTTGGTCTTAGCACAAAGGGCATATACAGTATGAAATTTTTTCACCTGGATCTTACTGGACTTGATTTTGGTACTATGGTTTTCATACCACAGGTTAGGGTGCTAATGTCAAGGGTGAGCCCTGAGGCAAGTCCAGTGCTGGACTCGACTAAGAACAAGGACACTTGCGCTGTAGCAACTTCTGTTAAGACTGAGGCTGAGCAACCAGTTAGGACATTATAGGTGCTGGTTTGGTGAAGTAAGATGATGAGGTGGTATGGAGAAGTTGGTACTGTGCCACTTATTTTGCAGTCTGAAAGGACCTGCTCCTACAACACCCATAGACCAGCCATTCTGTTTCACTAAGGGGTAAAAGAAAGGGAGGATGAGAAATGAAGGCAATGATGGAAAAATTTAAAGGAAAAACCCCTGCCCAGCAGTTTCTGGATGGGAACAACTGAAATTGAGGGGAAAAATTAATGCACAGAAAGTTCCAAATGCTGCTATCGCTATGGCAAGTAGAAAGGACAGACAGGAGCTGTATGTGGAGCATGTACAGAGAGTGGGTCATCCCATCTAAAAGCTTTGTTCTACTCCAGAAGGAACAGAATTCACATGTGTTACAGAGCCTACAAAGAAGTATACACAGAAACATAGTAAAAATAACTTTCAGAAATAAGTGTAAGCATTATTTCAATGCCAAAAACTGTTATTCACTGAAAATATAGCTCACCCTTCTGCTGTACTTAAAAAGCCTAGGTAACACTTGCCAAATACAGGAATGATAATTGTCTTCCTTGTTTCACAAACACATGCAAACAAAAACTTATAGGCAGCAGCAAATACGTTGACCAATCTTACACACAATTTAATGCTGGAATTGAAATTGTGGAATTCCACAATGCTGGAAACCTCTACCCAAGTGCCTCCTGAAATTCCCTCCAGAATTCCATATATTGCTCCCATATACTGGGCATAGTTCTAATGTTTCCCACTTGGTCAACCAGAAACCAAAGTAGTGATTATTTCTCAAAACTTATGAGGACAGGTTATCAGAGTATGAAAGCTCTCTGAAACATGAAAAATTAATCCCCCCGCCACCAACCCAAGGTGAAACATAGGCAGGTTGCTTACCTGTAACTGTTATTCTTTGAGTGGTCATCTATGCATTCACACAGATGCACTTTGCACCTACGCAGAGCCTACAGTCGGGAAGCTTCTACAGGTAAGCATTCATTTTGGGCAGGAATCCCTCCCTTTCCTGTTGCCAGGAAGTGTAGGGAAGGGCTACAAGCCATCTCCTCAGTTCCTAAGGAGACAGTTCCTATGGATCTCTGGACTGGTTCAGACCCAAGCATCTCTGGAGAGTAAGGACAATAGTTGAGGAGATGAAAGCAAGTGGGGTCAGAGAGTAGATTATGTGACTGCACAGATGACGGGTCGAAGAATGAAAGTCACAGGTAAGCAACCTGCCTTTCTTCTTCATGGTCTCTGTGCATCACACATATGGGTGACTAACTAGCTTATACTGTGGGGGATGTTGTCATCATTGAAGAACTGATGAGAGTGCTGCCCTGCCAAAGGAGCAGTCTGCCCTTGCACAGACATCCAGTTGGTAGTAGGCATGGACCACGTGGTCACTCTGCAGGGGTATCCTGTATGGGTATTCCAGCAAGGAGGACTGTGGATATGGTCACATGGAGTGGACCCTCAATCATGTACTGAGGTGGAGGTCTGTCATCTCATATGCCAGACAGTTAGTGTTTGAGACCCAGTTGGATAGTCTGTATGAGGGTGAGGGTCTCCTTTTTTATGTTCACCATAGCATATGAACAGCATTGGAGAATGGTGGAATGGTTCACTTCTGGATCTATAGAATGTGAGAGCTCTTCTGATGTTGAGCAAGAACAGGGTGAACCCTACAGAAGTTGATACGGAGGAGAAGGCAGGGAGGATGATCTCCTGAGGGAGATGAAAAAGTGAAATGACCTTAGGTAGGAAGGTAGAGTTTGGATGGGGAACAGGCTTGTCCCTATGGAAGGTGGGCCAACTAGCAGGGAGCAGAGCTTGTTGGCACAACAGGCCAATGTGATAAGCACTAGCAAAGTCATGTTCCAGAATAAGAGGCACAAGTCAGTTGTAGCCAGGAGCTTGAAGGGTTTTGGTGAGGGCATGAAGCACCACTGACAGGCTCCATGTTGAGGTGTAGGTGGAGTGTGGTGGGTTGATGTTTTTCAGGAGCCTCCATGCCAATGGGTGTGCCAAAACACACCTTGCTGGGTAAAAAGAAGGGCATGACCACCAAGTATATGCGGATCAATGAAGTAGTGTGGCCTTTCTGGAAATGGGTCTGCAAGAAATGCAGGATCTGTTTGATAGCAGCCCACTGTGGTTCAAAGCCTTCCTGGCATGTGAAGGTTTGAAGGCATTCCACTTTGCCAAATAGGACATCCCTGTAGATGGCTTCAGGGCTGTGTCCAGTATGGATGATACCTCAGGTGGTAGTGGTGATCCACCCACTCTAGGGGGCAATCCTCCAGGCCATGATGCATAAAGTCCCAACATCTGGGTGAAGAACTCAGTCCTGGTCCTGTGAGATGAGGTATGGTAGGTGGATGAACTTCACCTGGGAGAACTGGAAGAGCCAGGTGAACCACAGCTGCCACCATGGGGTGATGAGAATGCAGACTCCCACCCAGGGGGAGAACTGGAAGAGCCAGGTGAACCACAGCTGCCACCATGGGGTGATGAGAATGCAGACTCCCACCCAGGAGCAGAACTGGGGGCACATTGTTTTTTGGGCTGAAAAGATCCACTGATTGTGTACCCTATCTGTTATGAAAATCATGGAGGACTCTTGTTCAATCCTACTCATGTGAATCAAGGGTTGTGCAGCTGAAAGTGTCCACTAAGATGTTGTATTCGCCCACCATGTGATTAGGAAGTTTCTGGCAATACACCAGACCCATATGTCTATGGCTAGCCTGGTGAGCAGGATGGACTGTGTGGCTCCGTTTGTTCTTATAGAACATCACAGTTGTAAGGGGGACGCAGTGGCACAGCGGCTTAATGACAATGGAACTATCAGAAATGGTCGGCACTCCAGCAGTTTGAGCCCAACCTTGTGGGATGGAGTGAGCCCAGCTCCTGTCCACCTAGCAGTTCAAGCATACCATCTGTGAGCAGATAAATAGGAACCACCACTCCTCAATGGGAAACCTGCTGACTTCATTTGCGATGAAAGCAAGCACCAGTGTTGGATCTGCCTGGACAGAATTGGTGGAGAAAAGCCGTGGATGAACTGACTTCAACAAGAACGTCGTTGGTCAACCAGTGTTAAGCTAG